TATTATATGTATATGCACAATACATAAATAATAAGAAAATACAAAATAAATAATTGTAAAATTTTTAATTAAAAATTTAAAAATAACTATTTGACCATTCATAACAGGTTTATTCTTAAGAGAGAATTTTTTGGTTACCCTGGAAATCTGGAAACAAAAGATTTCTAAAGTCTGATTCAGGACTTAATATTCATCAATCTAGAGTTGAAAATTCCTCTTTACAATACCGATGAAGTTTCAAATCTTTACTCGTCCATTAACTCCTTTTGTCTGAACGCCTGAAATACGATCACTTCGAACTACTGACTCGATTAGTCTTCACAGTACTGCTCCGTCCTCGCTGTATCGTGGTTTCTACTGTAACACAATCGATTTCTCGTCGTTATTACAATCTGTGGTTTCCGGGTGCAAACCGTGTCCAGTAGGAATTGCATTGATATCGATATCAATGTGTCAATCGACACCTCGAGAGGTTAGGTACGATACAGGTGAAACGTCGGAATATACATAATTCTTATTGATATTGACGACTCATGCGTAGAAGTCTCAACTCGTAGCGAACTGTAACAAATTATAACAACAAAAACCTAGAACGTGAAAATATAGAATTCTTGATTTGATTCACCGTCATTGAGCGGAAAGGCGCGAAGAAAAGGACGATCCCGCGATCGACGCGCGACACGGTTCAATAAGTGTGTGGAGGGGGGTGGCCCTCCGCCACGGTTGTGTCTAAAAGTCCGTTGTGTAGTCGCAGGGTATATCTTCGATGTGGCCAGAGTTGTGTTAGAAGAGACGAAAGGAAAGAATGCGCGGATTTGACCTGGGGCTGCCTTGCTAGTTGAACTTATCAAGTAAGGTTACCCAGCAAGCGCTGCATTAGACGGGGATGCTATTGGAAAATATGGAAATTGTGTATGTAGAAAACGGAGGGTTTGCCGAGGACTTGCGAGAAAGTCCTCGAATCTCCTTCAAGTAGGAATCCATCTACTGGCGAGGGTGAGAAAATGATGCTGTCATAAGTTCGACCGCGAGTCCGGAAGATGGTGCTTCGCGAAG